GCGTAAATCTCTCAGCGGGCCCCAGTGTCTCCCGATATTATCTCCAATGGGGCCCTGCAGCCACTTTTAAAGAAGCTACAACCACGCGTGCACCCCGCGTCGCTCTCGAGCTGGACCCTGTCGAAAAACCACCTCTCTCTCCCGTCAGCTATCCTCTTCCATCCTCCTCACAGTTTCCTTTTTATACCGGAGAGGATCCTAATATATCCGTGGACACGGCATATTTTGTATCCTTTATCGTGGCGGGGTCGGGCCACCGATATTTATCAGCCTCCGCGATATCGCGTTCGTCCCGAGCGAAATTATAGTCCTCGAAATTGTCTTTTTGAAATTCCCACGGGGATCTCTCGCGCGTATAATTAATAGATACCGATTTCGCATACGCGTTGACGAAATCCGATAAATCAGCGCCGGTATTCGTGTCCTTCTACTGTTTCTTTTTTTAGCGCGTGCTGATCGAGGACACGTTATTTTCGATAGATTCGAGAGAGGCGTACCTTGGAGCAGACGCTGCGACACGACCCGGCGGCCAAAGAGCAACAGGACATCTCTGGAACAAATAAAATAGACTTGAGGATCTGTCGGAAGTACGCGAAAACATGTGGCACTTAGATCCTTTCTCCGCATTTTCCGGGACACGAAACAGACGCGTCCTGCGTTACGTCAATTGGGAAAGAAAGGATCCGTTTTTCTTTTACCGGATGAGGGTAAGGCTAAACTAGACCCTCGAACCTACTCGTGAAAAGATTTCGAAGAAATTTTCGAGCCGTTTGTCGAATTTCGAAAGAAGTCTTATTATTTTTAACAATGTTACGGGTGTAAACAGTGAACGTAAGTGATCATTTACGATTTTACGAGCGCAATATGCGGGTCCACTGGCTTTTCAACACCGAAATCGTGAACGTCGAGCGCAATAAACGATGCACACGAGTGGCTGGGGACAAGAGGGTTCGATGCGTGTTACAATTAAGTTAATAGATACCAGTCGGACACAAATTACCGCTGACTATGTTTCTCTGCGTGACTCGTACATCGTATTATTTCGTCCCGTGCAGACAGTTCGATCATTTTAATCTTGCACAGTTTTTAGTACCGCTTCTCGAGTTTTATCGAACGTTTGTTCAGTTGGTCGAACGATAGGTCACAGCCTGTTTTCATAGCTTCTTCGTAGTATCGATTTCATGGAGAGATCCTTTGTATTTCTTTGTAACGAGGTTTCATACAGAATTGTTCAATTATTAGAGTCGTAAAATCCGTGGCAAGTGCGTCGCCCTAAATCGTGACGGGTTTGTGGCTTCTCGACGACGCAAAAATAGCCGACGTCGTTTGCGACCGTTCAACTTCACGATCTAAGCCGCGAAAGTCCCCTTAATTTTATCCACTCGAATGAAACGAGACAGCCACGAACTTCTCTTTGAACGAACCTCTCGCGCGAGTTTCAGAGAAAATCGCTCTTTGAAAACGGACGTCGATCACCGAACGCTTTCCACGAATACATCAAAAGTCCACGAGAATTTCGTACACCTTCCTGTCGTTGTAAAGTTTTCTCGATTAAATGATTCTAACGGAACTTCTCGGTTGGAAGAAACGTTTCAATGTCAATTTCTTTGCGTATGACGCGCGTGTGGGTGCACGGTATAGTTGCATATGTATACAAGAACGTGACTAGGCTCGCAGCTGCAGAGCCTTTACGCGGCGTGGCGAATCGTGCACGAACGGTGACATCCACGTCGTTGCACTCGTAAAACACGCACGATTCTCCCACGCCTCGCGATAATACTTGGATGGAAGATAATCGGGAAACTATCCGACATTAGTGGGAAATTAGTATTCGAAACACGTGTGTCGATAACTTCGTTTCGATCGGCTTATCGGTTGCTGACGACGTTAACCCTTTGTTGTACTTTGACGAGACGCACTCGTGACGCACTCGCAACTCAAACATAACAAACCTTACTAAAATTATTAATACTTTTCAACTTAAAATTTTGGTTCAATTATAACTTATATTATCAAGGATCGCTGAATAGAAAATTATTGTTTGTTTAATCCCTTGCACTATTTTGACGAGACGCACTCGTGACGCACTCGCAACTCAAACATAACAAACCTTACTAAAATTAATACTTTTCAACTTGAAATTTAGGTTCAATTATAACTTATATTGTCAAGGATCGCTGAATAGAAAATTATTGTTTGTTTAATCCTTTGCCACTATTTTGACGAGACGCACTCGTGACGCACTCGCAACTCAAACATAACAAACCTTACTAAAATTATTAATACTTTTCAACTTGAAATTTAGGTTCAATTATAACTTATATTATCAAGGATCGCTGAATAGAAAATTATTGTTTGTTTTACCCCTTGCACTATTTTAACGAGACGCATTCGTGACGCACTCGTACCTTGGCTATGATTAACTTTACTCAAATTTTTAATATGCTTCAATTTGGAGTTCAAGTTTAATTATTTACATAGTCAACGATTGAATATCTAGTCGTCTTGACATAACATTTCAATTTTCTTTTTGTCTGTTTTAACATTATAGCTGTAATTAGTCAGTTCTGACTGACGCACTCGAGAAATAAGTCAAAATAGAAGGGGTTAAATATTATAGCTACGAATAGTTACCTAACTATAATCACAACTGATCGACATATAAATAAATTGTATGACAAGGGGTTAATAATCGGATAAAGTAGCTTCGATTACAGACAACTGGATTGCCCAGAGCAACGATTAAATGCAAGTACAAGTGACAACATACAAATCAGCGTAATTTACGATATTTCTTTAAAAGTGAAATTCCGATCGGTAGAAAGCACGAGCGGACATAAAATTATCGTAATGGATAAATAAAAAGTGAAAAGAAGTTGTTGCCAATTAGATGTCTACTCGGTCTCGATAAAATCGAGCCACCAGAGTTGCATCGAAGAAAATCTAGTAGCTAATGGACTAAATCAGCGATTACCATCTATCCTCGGTACAAGTTGTCCTAATTAGCATCGTTCCACGTTGTCCACGTGTTTCGTTGGAACGAGAGGATGCTCGTGACTGATACCTCGTTACGTCACACTTATCGTACCGATCCAACCGGCTTTCGTTACTCCCCATAACCTCGGTCCAAGAATTTTTCATATCGTAAAAACGGCTCGAATGGAAATTTAATTGCAACCGCGGGTTTCAACCAAAAAAGGCTGGAAGGAAGGAAGGGTGGAACTCTAATTAATACTATTATCAGGTTGACGAGGCAGTGGTTTTAATTTCGATGAGAAAGGGTGGAAGGAACTCTAATACTATTATCAAGTTGACGAGTTACTCGTGGTTTTAATTTCGATGAGAAAGGGTGGAAGGAACTCTAATATTATTATCAGGTTGACGAGTTACCAGTGGTTTTAATTTCGACGAGATAGAAAGGGTGGAAGGAACTCTAATACTATTATCAGGTTGACGAGTTACTCGTGATTTTAATTTCGATGAGACAGAAAGCGAAGGTGTCCTATGCTCCTTTTATCGAACCCGAAGCTGTCACGTACTTTTACGTGTTTATTTATCTCCGTTCTAGTATCGAGAGGCAGAATACGCGTGTACGCGCCTGTTCGACCGTGTCAGGTTGCCCCGTCGATGGAAGTCGCGTTCTCCTTTAACCCCTTCGTTCCTACCTTTCCTTTTCTTTCTGCCTTCGTTTTTTCTTCAACAACGCGTTTCGCGACAACCGGTCCACAAGAATCGTTCCCTCGGGATCTCCGGTGTAACAGGATCGACGTAAATCCTTCAAGAAGTTGAAAGCTCCCTCTAATTGCCACCGGTGTTTCGATCGGGACCATTTTTACTCTAAACCTCCGCTTGCACTATGACTTATTTCTCGAGTGCGTCAGTCAGAGCTGATTAATTATAGCTACAATATTAGAACAGACAAAAGAATTTAAAATGTTATGTCAATAATTTATTATGCGATCGACTATGCGAATTATAATTGAACTCCAAATTGAAGCGTATTAACCTCTTGCCGTGTGATTAGTTTGTCAGGTGCGTCAGTCAGAGCTGACTAATTATAGCTACAATATTAGAACAGACAAATAAATTTGAAATGTTATATCAATAATTTATTATGCGATCGACTATGCAAGTTATAATTGAACTCCAAATTGAAGCGTATTAACCCCTTGCCGTATGATTGGTGCGTCAGTCAGAACTATTAACTGCAGTAGAATTAAAGTCATTGAAAAAAGTCAAAATGTGACGATTTTATATTCAACGATCTTTGATCATACAAATTATAATTGGACTTCAAATTGAAATATATTAAATATTCAAGCAAGATTGTATTTGAACCGTAAGTGCGTCAGTGAAAATACTGCAAGGGGTTAAAAATTCGAGTAAAATAACAGCCGAAGTACGAGTGCGTCAGACTCGTCAAAATAGACATTTATACGCTTTGTCAAATTATTGAATTCCTTTCTCTTACGATGTTCGATAAGACCGGTAGAAAGAAAACAGGTTAATAGTATCGAGTAGAAACGATTAATAATTCAGACCTTTAAGGCGATTCGAACGTGTACACGATTAATTAATAAGATCAATCTCGATCGATGTATTCAAAGTGTTATAAATCGGTTACGCAACGCGCGTTCCAATTTCCAGACGAACGAAATTGCAGCAGGCGTAGGAAGGATTTACGCGTTGAACAGCCGTGGAAATTACCGTGATTCGTGCATTAAGGAAAGCAATCGGCATAGGTGACAAAGATAAGCGAATTGAACTCGACATCGAAACAAACGCCGTTCCACCAAATCGCTGCCTTTCGAGCGCCGATAAAACCGATACGCTGCTTGTCTAGCGCATTAGCATTGTATGGCATAAATATCGAAGCTGGTTTCGCGGCTGCGGAACAACGTTAACATTCATTCTTGCGTCGTGCTACGATATACTGACTGATAGAAGCGAATGCAAATTACGCGACAGAGAAAAAGTACCGGGATTTACGAGATATCAATTAAACTGTTATTATCGAAAGGTAGAAGCTGGTTTCGCGGCTGCGGAACAACGTTAACATTCATTCTTGCGTCGTGCTACGATATACTGACTGATAGAAGCGAATGCAAATTACGCGACAGAGAAAAAATTCGACGAGTCGCAGGATATCGATTAAACTGTTATTATCGAAAGGTAGTTCGTAGCTTTACTCGAATTGATAGAGAAAATTTTAAAAAATATTCGACGAGTCGCAGGATATCGATTAAACTGTTATTATCGAAAGGTGGCTTTGCTTGAATGGAAAAAAATTTCGGAGAATATTTGAGGAGTTTGAGGTCGCGAACCTTGGTCAAACGGAATCGTTTCATTTGGCGGTTCACAAATTTCATCGAGGAAAAGGAACAGACAGAAACGAGACGCGTTATCACCTTCGACTCCGTTGTGCGAATATACTTGTACGAGAATATACTTTGCAACTCTCTTTCCTTTTATTTGCCACGGAGGCCCGTTGAACGCCTTCGAAGGCAGAGGCGAAGGACCGTTAGCGACACATCGTTCACACGCCCGTGCACCGTGTAAATTTCGACGGAAGATTACATCGAATCGATGTACTGTGATAAATTTCCACTCTCTAGAAATTCTCTAGAATTAAAAGAACTGGATGGCTAGCATCAAAGTTCCACTCGGCGCTTCCGGAAGAAAACTTAGCTTTTTGTCAGGAGAAGTTCCCGCATAGAAGCTCGATAAAGAAGTCTCGTAACGATAACGTTCGAGAAGGGAGAGCATTGAACATCAACGCGAATCGAACGGAAGAGGCTGAAAAAAGTAAACGCTAACAAAAGCGGGGAGAATTAATACAGAAGGAGAATGGTAGGAGAAGAGACGGAGCGCACATGTGGCCAAGTTGTCGTCGATATCGTCTCGTCGATGACAAAGACCCGCGAACGCGTATGAAACTTGGCTCGTGTTTCAAGCCGCGACTGTTTAAAAAATAATCAACCACCTTTTCTTTTTATTCCTCTCGCCGTTGTGTAATAATCATTACGATTGCAAATATTGCTACGACATCGAACCGTCGAGTTACATTTAATACTTTTGAACGTTTTCAGGAAACGCTGATTACCTTGCGCGGCATCGAGGAAAAGATCGGCGCTGGCGACGACCGCCAGCATGGTCGTCATCAAACCGATCGACAGCATCCTGGTCGCCGCTCACCTCGCGTTTCAACGAATCCTTGATTCGATAGTACGCATCGACGTCTCAGAAAAGGACGAGGAACACGTGAGATCGTATCGAACGCGACAGAGTTGGCATGTCGGCGATAAGAGGGAACTCGCGCGAAAAGCAAGTGCACTGGAGCGCGGCCCGCGAACGACTGAGCTTTTCGTGGCACTTGCGGCCTCGAGTCTCCAATAAGCTTTTTACTCGACCGTGAGTGGGTGAGAGGAAGAAAGAGAACGAGGGAAGGAGAGAGAGTGGGAGAGATAGGGACGGAGGGATTGCGTGTGGGTGGAGGGAAAAGACGCGTGGCCCGTTGTCACGCAGTGCAACTGCTATTGTGACATCTTCGAGCTGTACCCACACGACTCTTGGTATGTATTTCCCTTTTTTTTTCTTCTTCGAGCTCGTCGCTTCGCAGCTCTTTCTTCGACACTGGTCGTGCATATTTTCTGCTGGAATTTCGCGCGCGTAATTCAATCAGGAGGATGTCGACGAGTACTGTTTTTCAACTTTCTAACCAGAGTCTACGCTTTCAGTCCGTAAGTTTGAAGATACTCGGTTAACTCGTGGGTCAAACTTCAATCGTTTTTCCTGCTTCCTCTAAAGCGATAACCCGGACTGATAGCGAGTGAATATGATTTGGAAGCTATCTTTTGAACGCCGATACGGAGTCCTTCGTGACTCACGTACAGTTCGAAACAACAGAAAAGTTATTCTTTAAACGATATCGAAACTTCGATGATGGGATGGGTCGAGTTTGAATCACCCTCGAGCACACGACTCAATGGACACGTAATTTATTAATTTATTCTCTCGATAAATCTCCTTCAATCCGCACGTAGGCTGCGGATGGATTGTCTCTCGGGTCTCTTCCTCTGTCTCTTTATCCAATATTCTTTCGGTACGTGTACATAAACAGAGACTCGTTATTTTCGCCGTAGACATGCACACCCAACCGTTGTTTGCGATAACACTTTTATGGCTGGTAATCGCACGATGCGCATCGTTACGTAATTATCGTTTAAAAAGTAGTCGCTGTTCGAAGAAAAACTGAGCGGAAAATTCGTCGGTGGAGAAACCTGTTTTGAACCGAATATCGGATAAACGTGTACCGGTTTATGTCGTGGAATTACCACCGTAAACGTTATTATTAACGCAACGTCGTCGCACTCGGCAGCTAATTGTAAAATAAATCGTTATTTAACGATCCGTTTCGCTTTTCACCTCTTGACGTATTAACAAAAACTTCTGTGCGTTAAATCTATGCATTTAGAATTTATTGTGATTGTGATGTTCCAATAAATTTCGTAATGTGGTTGTGAATAGAAAAAGACCTCGAGAAATTCTATCGGAACGAGGTCGTGTCAAGGAAGGTTTTTGCAGCTTGGACTTCGCTCGACTCGGCCTTAACTCACTCAAGTAGTCGCAATAGTTATTAATTATCCAAAGCGAGAGGCAGAGAGAGATCGTTTAATTGAATGGCGTCCCTCAATTTTCCTTATTGAAAGAGGACTTTTTTCAGGTTCAATTGATCGTGGAAAGATGGGAGGTGTCGTTGAAATAAATTCGCTGACGATTTACTTTCCGCGCATGCACGGTTCAAGTATTTGCCTCACGCACCCTTCGAACGAGCGAAAGGAAGAAAGAGGGACAGAGCGAGGGGAAAGACCAAATAGTTCCGTGAATATTGCATCCTCCGTCAATCGTCGGCTGCATGTCAATGAACTAGCATCGAACGACCAACAGAAATCGAGGGTTTCGAGTATACACGCATCGTGAGAAATCGAATTTCTCGCGTAAATTTGTCGGACTACGTGCCAGAGGACGCCTTAACGATGATTACCATTCGCGACGCTCGCTTCTTTCTTTACGATACATCGTACGCTCGTCGACATCGTAAAATTAAGGGTGAGAAACGTGTTATTCACTGACAGATTTATTATCATCTACACTTTTCAGAACTTTCAATTTCATCGTTCTAGGCGACACATAAATCGAACTGTGATCGAGGTATGCTGATGGCGATGCAACGTGGAATTGGAAAAGAGGTATTTCATAAAAATATTTTTCAATTTTCTATTCTCTTAACAATTCTGTTCTCTTTTCAATTTTCTGTTCTGTTTGATTCGGATATTATAGGTAACGGTGAACTTTATCAAGCAGAATGTACGGTTAGATGGTACGCGACACCACAAGGGAGATTAGCCCGCATTAATGCTAGCTGCGTTGTGCGATACGGCACGTCGATCTTTTCGTGTTCGCCGGCTTGTCATTATGGAAAAGTTCGCCGTAGAAGGACAATAGGAATACAATGAGAGAAATCGTAACGCGCCGTAATAAGTATGTCTCGAAAAATGAGACGTTGCTTTCCTCGAAGTCACGGTTAAAGAAAACGTTTCGCTTCGAAAGGTCAACTGCCTATAAAAATGCGAATAATATTAGCTATCCATTAAAGCTAATTTCTCCGATGATGGCTTTCGTAATGACAGGCTTAGCCTCGGAAGCCTTCTCTCGAATAACAACGTAAACGCCAGAAAAGGCCTCCCTAACCCGGAAACGTGGCTCTCATAAATAAGATTCAAATATCTCGAGTCTGCGCGCTAAAGGCGCCTCCATTGAGCGCATTGTCATCGCAGCCTGATATATGTGCTATTTGTTCTCTTGGAGCCAACGAAATCTACTGTACCGTTTTAACGATACCATGCAAAACAATCGGAAACGAGATCGAAAAGAACCGAGATGCTTCTACGTTGCATTGTACGTGGTTTCGTAGATCAATCATGCTCGAGCGTTACAAATACTTGCTGATCGAAGGGTCGATAGCTGATGGAAGGATTTGCCACTATAATTAAAATAATTTTGGGAGCTTTAAGATAGTACCATTTCCACCCTTCTGAGATTAAAATTCTGAGATTCAATAAAATAGGGGTTTAATTTGTAGACGGAGGGATTTACCGACGGCGTAAGGATCGCAAGGGTGGCGCCTTCGGCAAAGTATCGTAGAGGCGGAACGAGCGGTAGAGGGTCGCGTTGACACGGTGGGGTAGGAACGCTTCTCTCGCGAAAGTGTCGGAGTGGATTGGCGCTGTCATATGGAGGCAAACGGGGCGCCGTGTTAGGCACTCCGGCCTGCACGGATGCCTTGGCGTGTATCGTGAAAAAAGTGTCGACCCAGGGGGTCGCGAATCTTCATTGATTCTATCAATTTTCCGGTGAGTTCCAATCGATCGGTTATCCTGCGGAGAATGGTGCACGTTGATAAATGGGTCAACCCAACCCAGTTACCACCTTACATTTCATTTTTTTTTTCGAATCACTTGGCCTAGTTTCGAGTGCGATACCTTTTGCACGAGAGTGTGCGGTTTCGAACCCTTCGTGGCCGCCATCGTTTCGATCGAACTTAGTTTGTTACTTCTCGCATGAGATTCTCGCCGGTGGAAACGCATCGATTGACACGCGATCGCGTTAGTTTGTAGGTGATGCGCATCCGAGGTGAAAGTTCGCGTTTACTAAAAGAGAACGAAGTGTAGCTTTCGCGCGATAAATCGTTCGTGCATCCGATGCGTTGGAAACAAGTCCAACTCGTGCATTGTCGCGTCGCCGCGTCTCCGAGACGCGCATTCGCGAAATGCGATTCGCGAAAGAGCCTAACGGGTGGCCGCCGTGCAATCGCGGACACTTGTACGCGACCCTGAATTCAATTATCGATTCTCCGAGGAAAATACTCGACGGTGCATTTCCGACGTGCACAGTCACGAGTGTACTTCGCCTAGGTCATGATTCGAACTTATCGTTTTTTTTAATTTTCTTACGTGCACATCCCTGTGCGAAATGTAAACTTGTGTGCTACAATTGCAATGATATTTGCGTAACTCGTTAAACCTTCGAGAAACTGATCGATCTAACTGTTCCGTCATTCTTGACTCCGTTAAAACTGTTAGGTACAGATGGATTTAAAGAAGAGTGTTTTTTTTACGAGTGCAAATGTAATAACGTGTATTTCTGCTTCCTCGTTATAGATCGACGAGTGTTGATTGTATGTAATAAAAATGGCGGCGAGCAAACCACCGGAAATGAATTACACGTGCGAAATTTGTGGCCTGGAAGGCTTCAACGACGAAGAGATGAGGTCTCATATGGTTTTCTATCATCTGCAAGGGGCTGCGAACTGTCCGTTTTGCGACTTGGGGGAAATTTCGCCGACAGAAATGTTGGCTCACGTTAACAGTGCCCATCTTGATTATCTAACACCGAGGTTCGTTAAAATTATATATATATTCGTTTTCTGTATTATTTACAGATGTTCTGTCAGAGTAGCGCGAGCTATTTAAATAATTCCGTTTACACGGAAAATGGCGGCAAAGGTAAATGTTAGATGTCGCTGACATGTAGCGTGTGAATTTTGTGATGCTCGTGAAAGAAATCGTTTTCAGTATTTTTGGATCGTATAAATTGATTGAATGTGGAAAAATTAAAAGTGTATAACAATCGCTTCTTTACTTTACTTTCTTTCGTTTTGTGTTTGACGGCTACGCTCACTTTAAGTTATGTTTCATTTAGTTTATGTTGTTTGACATCACATGTTTATCCTGTTTTGAATAAACAACATGAGATATATTTCAAACAGAACACAATTTGTGTCAGATAAATGAGGACACACAGGAATAGGCACAGTTTTGCAGTTTTCTGATTGTCACATAAGTTATTTAAAATTAATTATGTAAAACATGATAAATAGTCGTAAACGCACCGCTAACTGTGCATTAAAGCTTGACAATGAAAAGTATTTAACATATTTTTCATTATTTATTTGTAGATAATAGAATTCTTAAATCTTCATAATGTAGTAACCTTTATTTTTGTCAATTATTGCAGCACCCCAGAGAATGACATGATGGCATTCATCGATGATGATTCTCTGGTGGATGATCGTAGGCACGATGAATGCCGTGGTCCTTGCCCTTCTCCAACAATGTCTCCGAGCCCACCTCTTCTTCAAAACGGATGGAGCAGTTCCCTTAACTTCCGTGTTAAACAGCAACCAGAAGCACCAAAGTCTGAGTCACAGATTCATAGTTCTAATGTCAATAACAACAATAACAACAATAATATTGGGAATGTTAATAATGGTACAAAGAAATTGAATACTGTAAGAATTGTGTAATTGGAAGCATGTAATTAAGTAAAACTTGTGTTTCAGTAATAGAAGGTGCAGCTGGTCATGGTTCTCCATTGCGTTCAGGCCTAAATCTGCAACTGCGTTCTCATGCTTCGCCAAAACTTCCGGTGCAAGAATGCCCTATGTGTCCCTACAGTTCTGATAGTCCACTAAGACTGGAAGAACATATCAATAGACAACATTTTGATCTCACGTCGCCGTCCTTCCCCCCGGAATCCCCACCGTCTCGCGATAGCGTTTTTAACTGCCCTTTATGCGTCACGTCTTTTCCAAATTCTTCTGATCTAGAGTTACACGTCAACATAGAGCACAAAGATATTTTGAGGTATTATCGAATGTATATTATATAGTTGGATTAATGTGTTTAATATCTATCTTTGTTGTTCGATTGCTTATGTTTATCTTTGCTTTTTTAGTCCTGCAAATGGTGCAGCTTCACAAGCTGCTCAAGCAACCAACGGCGGCGATACTCCTGCGTGTCCAGTTTGTTTCAGTACCTCGTTTAAAAACAACGACGAATTAACGGCACATATTGAAGAACATTTCAGTAAAAAGTGTACTCCATCTCCTATAACTCCAGACTTATCAACGGATAGAATGCTGGCCAAGGACATGGAAAGACTCGAGAAGGAACTTAGAAAATTACGCGAACAGCGTGAATTTGAAATGTTAAGAGCGCAATACGGGATGGACAATCAGGGCAATTTTAGAGAACAAAGTGTTACTAATATGCAGCGGGCTGTGTATTCGGGCGAAATGACGATTGCTGATTACTATGAAAGGCAAAGCGAACTCAGAGTAGCCGAAAGTAGCGGTATCGATGACGGTAGTTCTTGTACACGAGGTAATAATTCTTTCCCTTAGACGTACTTGTGATATTCTGTTTTCACTGGGCAGCAGTTCTTATCATATTTATGTTTCTGATTTTTTGTAGGATTAGTGCCCAAGATACGAGCTGTCAGTCAAGCGTGTAGTAATGTATTGAGCACCTGGATGTGTTCCACCGTAGATCATTATGCCACTACCTACGGAGACAAAGGCTGGGGATGTGGTTATAGAAATTTGCAAATGTTAATTTCTTCGCTTTTACAACATACAGGGTACAATGAGTTAGTTTATAAAGCATGGAATTCTGATTTGAGCGGTGGCAGTTCTGCCAAGAATCCGCTTCGAAGTTCGATACCGTCGGTCTCGAGACTTCAAAAAATGATCGAATGGGCTTGGGCTCAGGGTTTCGATACTCAGGGAGCGGAACAGTTGGGTGGGAAACTGGTGAACACTAGAAAATGGATTGGTCCCACGGAAGTAGTTACGTTATTATCTAGTCTGAGAATAAAGTACGTCTACACCTTCTTAAATCTTTCTTTTGCTTTTCAAATCATATTATATATCTTTATCGTCTACCAGATGTCAGTTGGTAGATTTTTATAGACCAACTAACTCCGATGGCGGACATCCCGAAATGTTTAACTGGGTTTTACAATATTTCCAGCGGTGCGATGATTTCAAGCCTCCCTTGTATTTACAGCATCAAGGTAAAAATTTGGAAGCAAACGATACGGATAAAGATAATGCATAGAACTAAAATTTTGTCGATGATCCTAGGTCATAGTAGAACAATAATAGGAGTAGAACAATTGAGAGACGGTTCAATAACGATGTTAGTACTCGATCCAAGCCATAGTCCAGCACAAATGGCACAATTTAACAGCACAAGTAGTGCACTCGGAGCAATGCGTTTGGTGAGAAAATCGATTGCAGCGATGAAAGCGAGACAGTATCAAGTTGTCGCTGTTACCGGTATCATGGAGACCGACTTGGAATACCACGTAAGCAAGTTTTAAACGTTTATTCGCTGTTTGTTTACGAATATCTTTGTTATATATTTTCTTTTTCAGGAAAGCAAAGTATTATGTTTGATTCGCGTACCACAAGATAGGTGAGATTTGCTGACCCGAAGAAGAGTAAAATCTTTTGGAAAGACGATAGACTGCCTCAAACCAATTTTTTCTGGCATCCTTAAAGTTACATGATCGCAGTGTTCTAGGTTTTATCATTAGGAGATTTGCTCCACCATAGTAGTTGCAAAATAGTATTATTTAAGAATATATTCTTGCATTTTTTAGCCGTTATAAATGGATTGGCTCCTGAAATCGTGTACGCGTAACCTCGTGTCGTGCTCGAGATATTCGGAGCTGTAATTAATTGAATCACAAGAAACTATAAAAATTGTAATTTCTGGGAGAAAAACAAATGTCTATACATACATCGCGTGTGTCGATTTCTTTTTTAATCGGTAATCGAAAGAAAGTTACAGTCAGAAACTATATAAAAGATAAAAATCAATTTGATCGTCGTTTCCTGTTCACAATGTTCTGCTCAATTTTCGTCGCACCGAACAGGCTGTGCTAATTTTTAGTCGACCAATCGTCCTATGCCGGTCGGTTGCATCAGCGAAAAAGCCATGGCAGAGCTTTAAAAACGAGACTCTTTCGTAGCTGTGATGCTGTTATCGATTTAACGCTAATCAATCATCGATTACATAAATATTTTTGAAGACACTCCATATGGTCGAAATTAAGAAAAATATTAAGAAAAGCATTGTCCGCGCTTACCTTCCTTCGCCTGTACTTTATATTTGTAATAAACGTTGTTGTCAAAATATTGTCAATTTTTAGTCAATAAAAATACCATTAGTGATAATATATCGTAATACGCGCCAGAATAAAATTTTATATACCGTTACGTAACTGTTCTCAACCGTATTTTTATTAACGTTGCTTTTACATCGCTTTGGGGTGTCTACAAGAATAACGAACATATTTCCATATATTCTATATACATTTCTCTGTATACTATACACGTATTTGCACACTCTTCGTTATATTACACTTTACTCACTCATACATGAAGTACAACTACTTTTCATACTAATTATAAATATTCTATTTAATTGTTCAATTACTTTAAGACTATTCGTACTTTAACTTGTAAGTTAAATGCAATGCTGTGACTGAAAGAAAGCAAAACAAAACACTACAGTCCATTACCTTGTTATATTATACGCTTAAGGAAAAGTTAAGTAATTTAAAAAATTATTATTACTGTCATTATGATCGTCATTTACATCGATATCATCATTACCATTATTATTATTATTATTATTGTTACAACGTTTATTGTGTCTTATAAATTATACCCATGCAAGACCTACTAATTACAGTTAAAAATATTTAAAATCATTAGAGAGTTTAATGTTCATTATAGTGAAAAATGTTACTGTTTTTATAGCTTTGATAATTTATCAAATGCATTAATCGAAGGAAAATTTGTCTTTCTGATTAGTAGGACCAGATGCAATAATTGTGACTGACAGCAAAGATACGATTATTATTTATTGTATATTGAATTGTACACACCGAAATTAAGAATATGTTTAACATTTTGGAATATTCAGGCAAATTAAGCCGTGGAATTGTTATGCCAGTGTAAAAAGAATTTCACATTACCCACATGTCAAACTAAAATATATATGCTTTGTTAGAATTCCCAATTTACGTCTGATTGTTTTGTACCATTTAAAACGAATATTCTTCTTTATGTGTATATGTTGCATGTTCCTGAAGAACAACATACTTTTATCCTTTTGATATTACATATCCACATATTATGTAAAAGACAAGAAAGCTGAAATAAACAACACATTTGATACAAATGAAACAGCTTTATTTATAAAGTTCAGAGGTATTTCATTAGATGATTGGCTCCATCTTAATAAATATAACTACATGTACAACATAAAATATCTCTGTAAATCATTACAGCCTGAGCATTCATTAAGTTTTCTAAATTAATAGTAATTTACACTTAAATGTTAAATCCCAAATATCTCATACAAGCTTTATGCGCTTCTATCAAATGCCCACAGTTTTCTTCGCCTTTGGTGATAATACTGAAAATACAAATGTTCCATTTTACAATCATTGTAATTGAATGTAAATTTATCGTATGTAACTTTATAAAAGAAATCAAAGATAAGGTTATGTGTTCCCATACATAAAAAGGACATGAATATTCCAACATTGTATAACATTGAAAAAGATATTTTTTATGTGATTTGAATTAATTTAATGCACTAGTTTCTTAAGAATCGTCAAACGAAGAGTGTCATTTATTTAGTATTTAATTATTTGCGTACCATTCATCCCTCGCAATTTTCGTTTCTGGACATGCACAACAAGGTTTCAGAGGTTTGTCAGATTTTTGGGCTCCAGCTGATCCTGCACTTACTGGAGTTTCTTTACTGTTCATACCACCCATTGTTATTCGTTAAATGCAAAATTTGATTCTACAAAATGCTTTGCTAAAATTTCGCACAAATGTGCAATCGGTGACTACAAATTCAATGGTCTAACTCTTTCCGTAGAGGTCGCACCGTTTCCAGCGGCTCTGTAACATTGATTGATCAAGGTTTAAATTTAAAAAACAGACATTGCGAATAAACTATGCTGTATACATATAAATAATAAAAACAGTTCTTCTATAACAGTCCGTAGAATGAAATCATATTAAATCGCAGAAACATGTCCGTGAGATACTCTGAGACATTGTACGCATGCTCGAAAACAAGGCACTTACAATGATAGTACTTTAAAACCCTTATTAAGGGATACTTTTTAAGGGATACATAAAAACTAATTATATCATCATTGTGGGTGCTTCGATTACTTTTTCTTTCTTTGCAAAAATTTACTGCGTATGTCTATATTTTACGGTTTAGGACTGCGCAGGGGGTCAAGGTTTACTGACTCATTCCCTGTGCATAGCAGAGCGTTGCACAAGTCAGTAAATAAATAATTAGACAATAAGTTTAATTAAGTTATGCACTGTATGAAAAGTGGTGAAAATAAAGAAAAATTGATCAACAATCATTGTGTATTTATTGTTACCTAACAAACCCAATAGAATAAAAATGTACATATTCGAAAAAGAGAATTTGTATCAGGAGAACATGAGAATTCCTGGAATTTGACGTCATCAAAATTCTAAGAAGTAGCATGATGGATACCTCTTCATAACTTATGTTCTCCTGATACAAGTTTTCAAAAATCGCGCCTCGGGAATTCTTGGAATTTGACGTCATCAAAATTCCAGGAAGTGGCACGAATACCTCCTCACAACTTATGTTCTCCTGATACAAATTTCCAAAATTGGTCTGTGGAATTTTAAAAATCCCGCCCGGGAATTCTTGGAATTTGACGTCACGAAAATTCCAGGAAGTGGCACGAATACCTCCTCACAACTTATGTTCTCCTGATACAAATTTTCAAAATTGGTCTGTGGAATTTTAAAAATCCCGCCCCGGGAATTCCTGGAATTTGACGTCATGAAAATTCCAAGAAGTGGCACGAATACCTCCTCACAACTTATGTTCTCCTGATACAAATTTTCAAAATCGGTCGATGGAATTTCAAAAATCGCGCCACAATAATTCTTGAAATGACGTTCTGAAAATTCCGTGAAGCACAAAGAATACCTCCTCATAATGCATGTTCTCCTGATACAAATTCTCCATATTTCTTTTTTATTTTTTGTTTTTTAAAGTTTGGGACAGTTTCTAAGGATCGGAATGACAGGATTTATAAATAAATAAATACGCAAATACATGTTTTTATTCATATTTATTTTCAAACACTTTTGTACATCAAATGTCTTAATATTATTTTATTGATAGATAGATACATTATTAACACTTAATTCTAGGACCTAATTATCATAATAATATGTACATATTCGTGTGCGCTATAGTACAGATCTTGCAGAAAGCTAATAAAAATCTGTTGAGATCATAAAAATAATGTAGCAATTAATTTGCTTCTAAATGTTTGAAAATATCTGTAAGTTATAGAAGAAAATGTGACGAATACATAAATCGAGCGATTGCTTTCTTGCGCTGTACTAAATGTCGTTCACACCAGGCTATTTTGACTGGCACTTGCCTAATTTGAACGTCCCCTTATGTAGGTCTGCCGCAGCGCCATTTAGCGGCGACACGTGGAACCTTTTTCTATTAAACGTCGTTCACATTAGGCTATTTTGACTGGTACTTGCCTAATCTGAACGCTCCCTTATACAGTTTGCCGCAGCGCCATCTATCAGCGACGCGCGGAACTACAATGAAAACTTCGCTGATGGTACATCACCGGTGCAGTGCAACAACTAATTACCGACGGATTCCGGTCGGTATTTTACACGTGGTCGCCATAGTTCAGCAGCTTGCTGTTAGATGGCGCTGCTACAGTATTTCTGGCGGTCTTTTTAAAAGATTGCTTCCTCTTTTCCTTGATGTATTTACACGCGTATCATTTTCAGTAATTCAATAATTCATTGATTATTAAAATATAGAAAGACAATTCCTATGTAAATGTAGCGGACTCGTTCGGTATAGAAATTAAAGTTTTTTAACTTAGAACAGCACCATGTATTTCTTCGTAGCTGGATACAACACGTGAGAGTGCTATGGTCGCCAGCGTCTTTTTATATATTATAATGAGTAACAAATGACTATCGCTGTCTATAATACCAATGTACAAAAACTGAATTTAAATCTAGAACCTACTCGGGTCGCAATGTTACCTACAATTGCCATAAGGTAACAAGGGTGCCACTATATAAAGGCACATGCAGCGCCATCTACCGGTAGAATATACAAACTAACCACGACTGTGCTCCCGGCGAGTGTAGTTCACCCTGTTCGCCGGAGAGATGGCGCCACTTATTTTTCGAAAAATCAAAATTAAAAACTAATTACGTCTTCATTACAAGAATAATCAATTTTACTTTTCACATGAAAGTTTGACTTTACATATTTGACTTCTCTTCAGTCGATAAAAAGGTTCACTTTCATGCCTCCACATATCTCCTTTTTCACTGCTTTTCACTTTGTGATAGGATCAGAAAGAAACTCCTCTTTATTGTAAAAATCCTTTACTTCAATACAGTACAATTTTTGATTCATAAAAAATAGCGATTAATGACTGTTACCTGGTAACAGAATGCTTCTCAAATAGAATACTTTTTGCTTCTTCTTCGAAGTCACACAAACATGTATAAATATCGAACCGCAATCATTGTAGTTCATTAAAAACTCCGAAGTTGAAACTTCGTGACGAACCCGACAACTAAATACAGAAGTTATCGATCACTTTGCGTTATAATAGTTCGTCTTCACGAAAGGCATTTTCGTAACAGTGGCTTTGTAAGTTTTTCCACGAACTTCGACCAATACTCCTCTGCCGTACTGAGCCAGCTCCGTAGGAACATAACCCATAGCGACAGATCGTCCGAGGGTTGGACTGGGACCTCCGGAAGTGATCTTACCTACTCGTTCACCTTCCGGTGTTAATATGCTGGCACCCTCTCTAGCTGGCGGTCCATGCACTATCGACAACCCTACTCGCTTCTTGTCACTGCCTGATTTGATCTGTGATAGAATTTTCTGGGCACCTGGGAAGTTCGCTTCAGCTCTTCTTCTCTTCGCTAAAACGACAATTAGAAAACTGTAGTATACAGTAGTCTACAGGGTATTTGCTTTACTAACATCTATTGTGCACTTCATACCCTGCAAATATTGTTCTAAGGTTTTTTGCGTAAGGTGGCTGCAAGTGGGAGAAAAATCTTGAGTAGCGTTACAACACTCTGTATTTACTCTGTGGTCTATATTTATTTTGAGTGATGGACGTCGACCGATTGGACGGTCCCGATGCGTTCCAATACGAAGCGGTACCGATTGGGAGCGTTCTGCCTCGAAGCAGTGCCGAATGTACCTAACCTACCCTTTTTTTACGAGGGGAAATCTTCATAGACCCCCCCAATCCCCGGGGGAGTGTGAGATTCTCACTAAAACCCCTCGGTGATGCCCACCCTCTACGGCTTTGACGGGTGATGGGACCCGACGCATAAACGGCGCCATCACGGACCTAACCTACTCTAAACTAACCTAACCTAATCTAACAGCATCGAATTGGAACGTATCCAATCGGTAGAGCTTCGAAATGGAACGCTCCGAATTGCAACGCGTCGAATAGGGACCGTCCAATCGTCCAAGTGGGACACCCCCTTTATTTTGCAGTATAATAACCGTTGCTTGAATATTTTACCCACCTACTAGCCAAGTTAGTCCAGCTTCAACCGGAGTAGTGTTCTCGTCAATATCATGACCGTACAGGCAAAGTCCAGCCTCTAACCTGCGATTTTCAATAATCTTTAGTTTTAAGAACGCTTTAGTAACTAAACTTTAGTAACGAACCTATCGATGAACCTTCATAAATTTACCTCAAACTATCCCTGGCTCCCAGACCCGCCAACTTCGTGTTAGGCGTCTCCAAAATCTTCTGAACCAGTTTACAGGCAATTTCGGATGGCATCGAGATCTCGAAACCGTCTTCCCCCGTGTATCCGCAACGAGTCACTCTGACTTGATTCCCCAGTAATTCTGTCTCTACGCTGTTCATGAATCTCAGGTTTTGTAAATTGATTTGCAGCATCGATTGCAGGGCTGATGCAGCGGTAGGTCCTTGTAACGCAACCAGTGTCTGCTCCTCGGGATCCAGGAATTCTAGGTACACCGATTTCTTTTCTGCCTTGAACTCCTCCTGAAAGTACAATATTATGGACAGTTGAATTCTAGTTTATTGGAGTTTATTTTATCTGTTGAATTTAAGTTTATTTTACATGTTGAATTTAACCCCTTCCCCTGCTTTGACGAGTCTCACTCGTGACGCACTCACAACTCAAATGTGATTAATGTTACTCGAATTTTGAATACTCTTTAACTTGAAGTTTAGATCCAACTATAATCTGCGTTGTCAAGGATCCCTGAATATAAAATACTTAGAACATTTTAATTTTCTTTGTTCGTTTTAATGTTATAGTCCTGAATGGTTAGTCTTGACTGACGCACCTTATAAATAAATGGCACGGCAAGGGGTTAAGTTTATTTTATCTGTTGAATTTAAGTTTATTTTATCTGTTGAATTTATGTTTATTTTATCTGCTGAATTTAACTTTATTTTACATGTTGAATTTAACTTTATTTATCTATTGAATTTAACTTTATTTTATCTGTTGAATTTAACTTTATTTTATCTGTTGAATTTAACTTTATTTATCTATTGAATTTAACTTTATTTTACATGTTGAATTTAACTTTATTTATCTATTGAATTTAACTTTATTTATCTATTGAATTTAACTTTATTTAACATGTTGAATTTAACTTTATTTATCTATTGAATATAACTTTATTTTCCATGTTGAATTTAACTTTATTTTACCTGTCGTTGAAGCAGTAGATCAGAGTCCTCTTCTCGCCTACCAGCGTTCGACACCACGAAGAACGAGTTCTCATCGTCTTTGGTGATGATGAGATCATCCACAATGCCTCCGTTCTCGTTGGTGAACACCGTAAGCACCGCGGAACCCTTCTGCAGGTTCTTCAGATCGCTCGTACTGAGACTTTCCAGGAAGTCACCTGCATCGCGACCGGAAACTCGCGTTTGCATCATGTGACTGACATCGAAAAGCGACGCGAAGGTTCTGGTGTGTTGATGGGACGCGGCTATCGCCTCTCGGTACTGCACCGGGAGTAGCCATCCGGAGAAGTTGACGATTTTACCTGAAAAGTCGATAAATCTTGTAGTTTATGAAAATGTAGTCGATAAATCTTGTAGTTTATGAAAATGTAGTCGCTAAACTTGTAATTTACTTGCCAGGATCAGTCAAAACTAATTCTTAGCTATAATGTTAAAACAAATAAAGAAAATTAAAATTCGAGTACTATATATTCAGCGATTATGCAAATTATTGTTGGACCTAAATTACAAGCTGAAGAGTGTTAAAAATTATTCTCATTTCATTTCTAAATGCGTCGCGCGAGACTCGTCAAAGTACAAGATGTTAAAAAATGTTAAGTAACTTACCTCGATTTTCCACGTGAAGATCGTACAAGCTTGTTTTCCTTGGATTCGGCGCCTGCGTGATCGAGAAACGGCGGGCTCCCGACCGTCTTTCCAAATCGATCAAACACCTCGAACGGCACTTAGGGACGGCATCTCTCGCGCTAGTCTTCGAAATTGTCAGACTGGACGCCTCGCGAATGTTTCCCAACGCCTCAAGCTTCTCCAAGCAGACGATTTGTCCGCGTACACCGTAACGAAGCATCTCTCTCGATACCGATTCTCGTACTGAGCTCGCGATGCCGGTCGCGGCGCAAACAGTGCCTCTGACGATGACCCCGCTGACACGAGGCATCTTTCAGACGCGGATTTAGCATCGAAAATCAACAGCACATGTGACGCAGATACGGTTTTGCATGTAATTTGTTCCACTGACTATTGTTATTTTCGAGCGACTGATTCAATAGTGTCAAACGTGTGTTACGTACGTGTGTGTATATCGCAAGTAACGATAATATTCGTAAGGAGTTCATTTATTCGAGAAAGCTTCGAGTAAACCGGTGTTCTATTCGTGTTGTAATAGGAGACCGATAAAGAAAGTATTTCGATACATTGATATATTCTCGCACGATAGAGTTATCGTTATTTTCGTGCTAAGCAGAGGTCAGCGTTGGATAACGACTAGAAAATGTGTGGTGATAAAAGGGAAGGTGATAATAGTCACGAGACTTGTACGCGTCGAATGCTTATTAAATTTTTATTGTACCACGTAATAATAATAATTAATAATAATAATTAATAATAATAATAATAATAATAATAATGACAATAGTAATAATCGCAATAATCATCATCGCAATAATAAATTGTGATAATAATGTCAATAATAAAATGTTAATAATAATAATAATAATAATAATAATAGCAATAGTTTCATAATAATAATAATAATGACAATTCATCGTCGTCGGTAATAATCCAATGACAAATGTCAATAGTCATATAGTAGCGTGTCGAACGGAGAAACGACCTTAAAAAACGAAGACAGTATCAATTGTTCGTTCATACATTTTGTTTTTTTTTTCCTTTTAGCTTCCGTCGTCTTATTCTTCTCGCTCGCGCTTTTTCTTTTTTTTAATCTCTTCTTTACCTCTCGCTCTCGCTCTTCCACACGCGCATTCTCTCTCGCCTTTTTTTTTTTTTTGACTTCTTTCTCTCACACACACGCACACTTTCTCCCTCTGTCTCGTGTTTACACAATTGATGCAAAATGTCCCTACACAGTCCGACGAATGTGTGTGTGTGTACGTTTTTCCGATCGATCGATTTTTTCTTCCTCCGGGTCGTAGAGTGTTCGCTCGACGCTTTCTCTATGATATTACGATTTTGTTTCTTTTTCCGCCTGTTCCTCTTTGAAATCCGCTAGTTTTCCTTGTAGCACGTGTTGACACATTCACTCACATTGGTTAATCGGTTCGCTAGTGGAGGGACTATAAAGGGAGTGGCTGTGAAGAGGGGGTGTGCCGTTGGAGGAAGATATCGGTGAGGAGTTAAGGGGTGCTCGGGGAAAGGGATATCAATTAAAAGTTAACGAGGAAAATGGATATGATGCGGTGAAAAGAAAAGGCGCTATATTACAGGTTGCCCCCTCCGGTCAACATCTCCTTTAGAATTTTCCTATTGAATTTCGCGAGCAATTTACTTTCGCGTTGACCGATAGCTGCCAAACAGTTTACCGAAACCGTCCGAAATTCGTCGACCGAGGGACATTTTTCGCGGTGCCGAGAGCGTCGAAAACCGATAACAGTCGCCTACGATCGCGAGGGGAAACCGAAGTTCGATCAAAATGGCGATCGGGAAAGTACTGCTTCGTTTCCGCGATTTCGTCGCGCTCGTCTTACGCGGTTTTATATCGAATTCTTTCTATCTCTCACTGCCTGAGCTATTTTTTCTTTTTTTTCGCCTCTGTCACCTCTCCTCCTCTGCTCGTCCTGGAACGCGACAATGCGCCCTTTCATGGTTTCGAATCGCGTTTGTTCCGTTGCTGGTTCGGGAGAAAAGGTGTAAATAAAAACCGGGGGTGTTTCGTAACGATCGTTAAGGATTTCGTCGGAAATGGAAGTTCGATCGGGCGACATTGTCACGAACGAGGAAGCACATCGCGTACGCGTTCGCGTTTCTGCATTGGATGTACGTATGCGTGCGTACATACATACATATATGTATATCTTTATATATAGATATATCGTTCGTTTGTATTATCGGCTATTTTGTTTTCTCTGTTATTTTTGATCGTTGCACGAAAAGAAACGAAAGATCTGAGTCGTTTTGTTTTTTCCTGTACGAAAATTCTTGGTGTAAAGAAAGAAATCATTCCAGTGAACCCAAACTCTATTGCCTGCTATTGTTGCTTCTATATGCGTGTCTCGAAACGGATGTCTGTTTAATTTTCGTCGCATGTGCTCTCTACCTTTCCTCTTTTTTACCTTTCCGTTAGCCAAAAGATTTTTCTTTTACTCGTTTTTTTCGCTCGAGGGGAGGGGGACTCGTTTTGTGCCTGCCGACAATTACAGTGTGCAATCACCGTAAAAAAAAATTCTCGCAACTCTTTCATTCTCTCTCTCTCGCTTTCTTTCGCTCTCTCACTATTTGCGCTCCCTATATACTTCGAGTTCAATAATTTTGTCTAAAATTCCATTTTCTCCTTAACTATACACAATAATCATAATATATAATAATAATAATAATAATAATAATCACGACTCGAATACATCATCGATCACCTCCGAATATAGATACAATAATTTTTTTTCTTCTTCAACGTCATCGTCTTTCTTCTTCCGCCCTTTTTTCTCTTTCTCTCTCTCTCTCTCTCTCTCTCTTGCATTACATCTTCGCAATAATGATCGTTTAGGTCGTCGTATATCTATACATATACATATACATATACATATACATATATATATATAATTTATAAAATGAAAATAGGTACAATTTTGGACGCTTTTCTTTGTCGAAAAAACGCTCCGAAAATTTTATTTTCGCTTAATAATGCCCATCGGTTGCGATTCTAGTCCACTTGGTAGTAAAATTTTGTTTAGTTTTCACTCTCTCGTTCACACACGTTCTCTCCCTCCCATTCGCTCTTTCTCGCTCACTCGCGCTCACGATTTACTCGAAACTCTCACTCGCTCCTCTCGCTCGATATATTCGCATTCTTACGCGTTTCTTTCTCGCTCACGTAATTTTTGTATTCAACGCTCGCATCCTTTCACTCAAAATTTCAGCGATAATCGCTCTCGCGATACATCAGCCTTTTTTTCGCCTTCGATCTCGAAAAGACATGAAATTTTAGGCTGGCCAATCGCGTGCTTCCAGAATCGACGAGCTTCCAACGGCGCTCGCAACCAGAACAAAATTTTCTCGCGAAATACGCGCTTAATTTTCTACTCTACCTCACGTTATAGTATATTTACAGTCGTTCGATCGCAACTTGTGTCGAGTTTGTTCTTCGAAATTCGAACTTCGAACGGCTTTAATTCTGACTCAGCTCGCGTGCGAGCTCCTTCGACAACTTTCGAGACTGTGAAAATATCTCTTTCTCGTCGCGGAACAATTTCGACGATCGGTCTCGGCCGAACCGGTGAATTTTTCACGAAACCGATCTAACCTTCGAAACGAGCTCGCACGCCTTTTTACAGGAAGCCCGAAACACTTTTTATACGTAACATAGGTTGCTCCTTTTGCTATTGATTTGCAGTGTTCAATGGTACCTCTACTAGAGTATCCGAAACGCTTTAAAACGTTCTTACTTCTAGACGGTCGAAAATAATCGATTTATTTTGATATGTCTAATCAAGCTTGGCAGCCCTGTTTCTTTACTCGAGTAAACTCGTCGAGGAATTTAATTTAAGCGTTTTTCTTTTTAGAGAAACAGAGCTTCCTCGAAATACAAACGAACAAATTTTAATCTCGAAGATCGCCTTTCTCGAAGATATTTGTAACGAGGGAAAGACTTCTTCGTTTTGAATATTTCTGCGATTTCCGATAGCGAAAGTAGTCGATCGCATCGAACACTGCCCACCGGTCGTCGCGCTGACGCCGATGGCACGGCAAGAGTTATAAATTTCGAATTGTTCTTCCGCGTGTGCCCGGAAGTGGTTCCGTCGCACGGAAGCACTCGTTGACGAATGTAACGATGTAGAAACTTAAAAAAATCAGTTGTTGATCCTAGACGGTTGTTGTGTTTTGAATAGATTTACGCAAAAAAGGCTCTCGCGATTTCTAAAATTGTTTAGCTTGTTCATTTCATCGTTTCTCGCAATCATCGAAAACGTTGCTCTTTTTCCTAGATATTGCATCACATGTATCATCATACATAGAACCATTTAATGAGAAATCCTACACAATGCGGAACTTGCTCGTAACCGAAAGAGACTTGGTGAATTATCGTTTCGTATTATTTTTTTTTTGCATCTCTCGCTATCTCTCTATTCCTCGCTCTATACTGTATATATATATATTTATATTTCTCACGTTGTTTCTTTTCAGGATTGTTTCCTAGCTTGTTTTCCCTTTTTTCTTACTTTTTTTGTGCGTCGACCATTTCCGAAATTCGAAATTGTAAACGCTGCTCACTACGTACGCGGCGCTTCGAGGATTCTCGTGGATACGGCTTTTTCTTTTTATACGTAACATAGGTTGCTCCTTTTGCTATTGATTTGCAGTGTTCAATGGTACCTCTACTAGAGTATCCGAAACGCTTTAAAACGTTCTTACTTCTAGACGGTCGAAAATAATCGATTTATTTTGATATGTCTAATCAAGCTTGGCAGCCCTGTTTCTTTACTCGAGTAAACTCGTCGAGGAATTTAATTTAAGCGTTTTTCTTTTTAGAGAAACAGAGCTTCCTCGAAATACAAACGAACAAATTTTAATCTCGAAGATCGCCTTTCTCGAAGATATTTGTAACGAGGGAAAGACTTCTTCGTTTTGAATATTTCTGCGATTTCCGATAGCGAAAGTAGTCGATCGCATCGAACACTGCCCACCGGTCGTCGCGCTGACGCCGATGGCACGGCAAGAGTTATAAATTTCGAATTGTTCTTCCGCGTGTGCCCGGAAGTGGTTCCGTCGCACGGAAGCACTCGTTGACGAATGTAACGATGTAGAAACTTAAAAAAATCAGTTGTTGATCCTAGACGGTTGTTGTGTTTTGAATAGATTTACGCAAAAAAGGCTCTCGCGATTTCTAAAATTGTTTAGCTTGTTCATTTCATCGTTTCTCGCAATCATCGAAAACGTTGCTCTTTTTCCTAGATATTGCATCACATGTATCATCATACATAGAACCATTTAATGAGAAATCCTACACAATGCGGAACTTGCTCGT